CAGACACAGAACTGGAGGGATGAGGACACATTCTCCCTAAGCCTCTTCCCCCCAGGTGCCTCCAAGGTCCTCAGAGAAGGAGGCTTCTGGCTTCTCTCCCTGGCCCAGCCTCATTCCCCTCTACCTCCTTCCCTGGGGTTCTCTCCCAGGTGATCCCCTCAACCTTTCACTGAGTAGATGGTCTCCATCTAGAGCGCTAGCCTCGGCTTCTTTTCAGAGGTCTGGGATCACATTTCTTTCTTTTTTTTATTTTTTTAAATTTTTGGCCGATGTTATTATGCTTTGCTCTTTTCAGAAGAAGTACCTGTTAATGGCATACATTTTACAAAGTGTCAACAAGCAGGAAAGGAAAGAATTAACTGTTTACCGTCCAATACCCTGTCGTAATTGCTTCCAATTCTGGTGACTTCTTGGAGTCTCCCCCTTAACACAGGCATGGATAGGTTTTAATTTTAAAAATGTGATCACACTGTCTATTCTTCTCCCTCTTGCTCTCCTCAGCCCACAGTTTATCGTGATCATATCTCTTTTATTAAACACTCTGCCACAACATTACAAGCGGATGCATAGCATTCTGTTGTGTGGATGTACCTTCCTTTATGTAATCAGTTCTGTTTCATGGAACCTCTAGGTTGACTCCTATTTTTGTGTTGTCTGCCATGATTCTTTCCTCAGGATGAATTCCAAAAGAAGTAATTACTGGGTTTAAGGATTTGTGCTTTTAAAGGCTTTTCATGCATCTTTATCAAACTGCCTTCCAGAAAAATCCTCTCTAGAACTGTATAAAAGTACCTCTTTTTTCTATAGCCTTTACAAATGCAGTGTTACCATAGTTGTGGGAGGAGTCAAGCTTATTTAATAATTAAAAATGATAACTTTTGTTTTAATTCGAAGCTCCCTGGTTTCTATAGAGGCTAAATATTTTTGCCTTATGTTCATTTGCCATTTGTGTTTATTTTCATGTGAATTGACCATAAGATTTTTTGTCCAATGTTAAATGAGAGGTGCTTGCTTTCCTTTTATTTGTTTATAAGAGCTCTCTACATATTAAGGATATTCACTTTCTTTTAAAAAAAAGATTTTATTTATTTATTTGACAGAGAGAGAGAGAGACAGTGAGAGACTGAACAGAAGTAGAGGGAGTGAGAGAGGGAGAAGCAGGCTTCTCCGATACGGGGCTTGATCCCAGGACCCTGGGATCATGAGCTGAGCTGAAGGCAGATGCTTGATGACTGAGCCACCCAAGTGCTCTGACTCAATGACATTTTAAACTTCACAAATCTGGAGTACCTGGGTGGTTCAGATGGCTAAGCATCTGCCTTCTGCTTAGATCATGATCTCCGGGTTCTGGCATTGAGCCCCACATCAGGATCCCAGCTCAACAAGGAGTCTGCTTTTCCCTCTCCCTCTGCCTCTCCCCCTGCTCATGCTCTCTCTCCCTCTGTATCTGTCTCAAATGAATAAAATCTTCACAAATCCAAATGGAAATTCATTATTCCCCCCCTCTAGCCCTAACTGCTCTTCCTGCTGACTTGCTTTTTCCTGTTAATGTCACCACTGTTTTCCTGGTCACCCAGGCTTGAATTGTTGAGGTCATCTTGGGTTCCAACGTTTCTCTTTTCCTTTCTATCCCGTCCATTGCCAATCCATAGGCAATCTCTATGGAGATTTGATTTCTGTGGTTTCCCTGGTGGGCAGGCCCTCTAACACAACAGTAGTTCCCGTTCTCATTATTTCTTGGCTGGACTTTGAAAATGGCCTCATAAGTTCATATCTTGCTCTCCCAACCCCAGTTCCTTGACTTGTCATTTCTCCTTGCCCCTCCTGTACCCTGCCACCACATTAATCTTCCTAAAGTAGAGCTCAAGCATGGAACTCTCTGGTAACAAACCACCAACAACTCCCCCTTGTCTTGTATTTAATTACAACCTGTTAACCTGGCCTTAATTTCCTTTCAGTGGAATCTTCCACTATCTCGGCCAAGTTGCTCCTTAAACAAGCCCACAGTTTTCCCGCCCCTCTGCCTTTTTGCTCCAGCCATTCCCTCCTACTAGAATTCCCTCCCACTATTTCCACCTAACAAAATCCATTCAGAAAGCTCCCCACCTACCCCACTGCCAGCTATCCCAAGATTTTCCTATTCTTTAAAGTGAATTCTCTCTCTCTGAAACTCCCAGAACAGTTTGCTTGAGCTTTTCTTGTGAAAAAAATCCTATTCCCTCATCTAGCAGAGGCCTCAAAAGTCTTACGTTCCTACCAGAAAGCAGATCCATTTGAGGGCACTCTTCTTATACGTCTCTGCTTTTCCACAGAAGCTGCACAGCGCCTTGCCACAGCTGATATTCAGTAGGTATTTATGGAATGAAAGGCAGTACCCCAGGTAGCCGAATGCCTGGGATCACGGGCCACTGCTGTTTCCCGCCCCACTCCCAGCCTCCAGGGATAGGACACATCTATCAGCTAACGGACAGAGGGCAAGTCCCCTCTGCAAGTGGCTGAGCCAAGCTGACAGCCTTTGGGACTGGGAACTGTGCCACAGTCACCTCTTTGTCCTCATAGTTTGGCCTGTGGTTATCGAGGTAAATGCCGCCCCCCTCCCCATCCATTCACCCGCTTGCCTTACGAATGCAATGTGTGGGACATGGTACATACTTTGTAGGTTGGCAACTGAGAAGAGGATCTTGGGGACCCTATAAGAAAGAGAACCTTGGAATCAGAGTTGAATGGCAGCTAAGGGGTGCAGGAGGCTTCTGTGACCCTGACCATGCACGCTGCCTGGGCCAGCTAGGACTTTTTCTCTCTTTAATATATTTAAATAGTGTCAAGATTGGGGTCAGCTTCATGCACGGAACCTTCTTAGCTTTAGAGGTGACTCTGCAGCCAGCACGGGAGTATGCAATTGACACAGTCTATTTTTAGCCTCCCAGAGACCGTGACCAACATCCCAAGCCGAGGGTGGGCACACCTGCTGCATTCTAATGAGGCAGCCTCGATTGCCTCTGCCAGCCAGCCGGGATCTCACCGACCTCAAATCTGATGTTGCTAAACTGGGAAGTCTGCTTATTTCCCAGAGGCTATAGCCTAGATACACCAGGAAAATGGGACCATCACCCTCCCCTGAGCTCACTCCTCTCCAGCCCAGGACACAGGGCAGTCTGGGGGCAATTTGCACAGCATAATGGGGAGATGGAGTCTCTTGGGTTTCTTGATCTTGCTCTGTCCTAGGGCCTCCCTATTTCCCTTGTTGGAAAGGAGATTAATAATTCTGAGCTGATTCAGCTCAGAAATGAGAAAATCATGGCATGAAACAGAGACATGTTTATGTAATATGAATAATAATGGTAGGAATAATATTAGAGCTTACTATTGCCAGGCACTGTTCGGAACACTTTACAGGTATGGACTCACCCAAACTTTTTGACCGCTCTCTCAGAGGAGTTTCATCATGTTGTCTATTTCATGGTGGAAGAGACTGAGGCACATGGTGACAAATGACTTCCGATGGTCATTCGCCAGCCACTAAGCGGCAGGGCCATGTTTTAAAGCCAGGCAGTGTGACCCCAGGATTTACGCTCTACACCATACCACCTGCCTCTCAATATTTATTTTTAATTTTACTAGCGGCAGACTGGGATCCAGGAATCCCAGAGGACTGGATAATGCTGCTTCTCAGTATTTTAAACTTTTGCCCGGCTTTGAGCCCTTTGCTGTGCTGTGCACACCTGGATTCCTATGCTCCGGGGAGAGAAGCTTCTTCTCCTAGGTTGACTTCGTGTATGCAGTCAAGCTGAACGTTTGGGCCCCAGAACTCCCCGAACTTTCTCTCCTTCTCCCTCGTCCCCTTAGCCTGTGAAGGAGGAGGGGCTGGCCAGGGACCCCCAGCAGCGGTGGGGTGTAGAGCGGGGCTTCGTGGCAGGGTTGGGAACTCAGAAAGAGGGAACGGGCTCGTGTGCAGGCAGGAGGCCCCCATCAGCGTGGGCTTTCGCAGTCCAGAGGAAACTTCTGCCGAAGTTCAGAGTAAAGTTCACAGAAAGCAGGAGGGGAGACACCAGGTGCGAGGCCCCAGAACCTCAGAGACCTACGTTTTGGAGGACAAGTGCTGCCTGCTGGAGAGAAGCCCAGGAACTCAATCGTCCTAAGGGCACAGGCAGGTTTCAATTTAACAGATACCAATTAGGGGTGCCTGGGTGGCTCAGTGGGTTAAGCCTCTGCCTTCAGCTCAGGTCATAATCTCAGGGTCCTGGGATCAAGCCCAGCATCGAGCTCTCTGCTCAGCAGGGAGCCTGCTTCCCCCTCTCTCTCTGCCTGACTCTCTGCCTACTTGTGATCTCTCTCTGTCAAATAAAGAAATAAAGTCTTTAAAAAAACAAAACAAAACAACAACAACAAAAACAGATACCGATTACATGCTAGGTAGGCCCTTTTATAAGCACTTTACAAACACCAACTATCTGATCCTAGGGGTGACTCTAGGACATGGGGATCATTTTATTCCCATTGGAGGGATAGGGAAACCAAGGCAATGAGAAGTTAATAATTTTGCCCGAGGTCGGGTGCTAAACTCGTAAGTGGCAGAGCTGGGGCTCCGGTTTTGGCAGACTGGCTCTGGGATCTCGGCTCCAGCCTCAAGCCTCTGTGATGCTATACATCTCTCCCTTTAGTGTGTGTTCACTATTCGCCTGTTAAGGAATGTATTTTTGCCCTTGTTTAGCAGAGCTGGAAACTGAGGCCTAGATTGGCTCAGATCGCCTGACTAGTAAGTGATGGAATTGGGTTAATTTGAGGTCTTTCTGGCTCCTCAGTAGCCAGAGGAGCCTCTCTACAAGTCACAGCCCTCAGCTGGCCTGCCAGAAAGCCGGAAGGGTCCATGGCACCTAAGGAGTGGCTGCTGAGCAGACAGGAGCCGCGGGGCTCAGGGAGGGGAAGGAAGGTGGGGCGGCATCTCAGAGGGCAGGACCTCATTGCTTCTGTTGACACCAAGCCCCTTCTCTTCCCCTCAGGTGAACAGTCCCCCACCGCAACCCCCTCAGCCCGTCGTCCCACCCAAGCCTGTGCAATGTGTCCATCATGTGTCCACTCAGCCCAGCTGCCCAGGACGGGGCAAGATGTCCAAGCTGCTGAACCCAGAGGAGATGACCTCGAGAGATTATTACTTCGACTCCTATGCCCACTTTGGGATCCACGAGGTAAACCATGCTGAGCTCAGCCCTGCTGTTCCATCACTGTTAGAAAACAGTGTTATGTGTTCAACTGTCTGCTGTCATAAAGTGGGTTTTCCCAGTGGCCCAAGGTCCCTGGCCCTCCGTCCTGAAAGCCTCTCTGGGAGAGGGTCAGGGCTAGGCTTGCAGCGGGTGAGTAGCTGGAAGCATATGTTTGTGTGTTTCTCTGCCAGAAAGCAAGGGCTGGAGGCGGGTGGGGGGCAAATCTTAGGATTTCTTTCTTTTATGGTCCAGCACCTGTGTCTTCTCAATCCTAAGCCCAGGTGATCCAGGTGGACCAGATGTCTTTGCTCTAGATCCCTGCTCTAGGAGCTCAGATGCTTTGCAGCTCGAATCCTGTGGCTGAGAAGCCCTTCCAGAGGCCATGCTGTCTGGTCTTCAGGGAGGCCTTAGGAGGCCTTAGGTCCTAGACCAATGAACACCTCCAGGGGAAGAAATACAGCAAGCTTCCTTGGAAACCTGGCCCAGGTCTGCCATCCTGATTGATTCTCAGGAAATTCTTGTGTCTCAATGCTTGTCTTGCACCATAGCAGGGAAGATTTATGTTCCTTGTCCAACAGAACAGAGCTTCCCTGCAGCCAGGAAGCCTGCACCCTCCTCTCCTCCAGCATTTTCTCCAGCCACCCAGCCTGGGGACCGTTCACTCATTAACTAGTGCTTACACAGTGCCGGGCACGGTTCTAAGCACATTCTACATATCATTTCACTTAATGCTCCTAAGAACTCTATGAAGAAAATATTTCTATTATCCCCTTACCGTATGAAGAAATACTGAAAAGGGAACAAAGCCCTGCTTGCTCTGCAAATGCGTTTTTGAAGTAAGACTCAAAGCTCCTCTTTCAATTAGATGCCTGTGTACACCCTCCCTGTGACAAAATGGTAATACTGTCACTGCCGGAAGAGTATTTAAAAATAATAGCCAGCACGCCCCCCACCCTCCCTCCCCCTTTTTTTTTAATAAGTGCTTGCAGCATGCTGGGGATTGTTCCAAGATTGTACCTGATTGGCTCATTTATTTCTCAGGTCAGCCCTAGGAAGTTGGTATTATTATTTTTGTCCCCAATTATAATTACTTGTATGTTTGTTTTTAGACAAACCAAATTTATAGTATTTAGTATTTACTTTTGGTGTTTCTGTTTTAATTTCATGTATTCCTTTTTTAAAGATGCCCATTGTCCCCGATGCCAGCAACCCACCAACTTATAAAATAATACAAATTTATTATAATGAACTCAGAGAATACAAGATCACTGGTCCCCAGTTTGTACATGGGGGTGTGAGATCTTAAGAATCCAGGTCAACTTTCATTCCTTGCTTCTTTTGCCCACGTCACAAGATAATAAGTGGCAGAGCTAGGAATGAAACCTTCACGTTTGGGGCCCAGGGGCTTCCTCCCTGACTACCATGGAGTATAGACTTTAAACCAAGTCTGTCTTCCTTTCTGGAAACTTTGACTTTGTTTCTGGTCGTTCCTTTGCAATTCCAGGTGGAGACAGAGAGTGCAGGACGGGTGCCTCAGTCAATTCTAGACTCAGAGGTTTGCCTTATTCACCTGAGGGAGACTCAGGGTTTGACATCCCCCCCCCCACCCCAGAACTGCTGTCCACATAAAAGTGTTAAGCTTGGGACCTTCAGGGAGGAAGACTGGGCCCTGTGTTTCTTCCGGAGGTCCTGGCTCAGGGGGCCTGAGCAGCTGAGCCTGCTGTTCTTGGTGGCTCACATGTCATCTTGGGCAGATAAGTAAGCAGCTGTACCTTCCCTGATCCTACTCCCCATGGATGTGGGGGTCGGGTGAGGTGGTGCACTGAGCCCTGTCCTAGGCCTGAGAGAGGTTCTGGGAGGCAGAAAGACATCTTCAAGAGCCTACCCTGTCCCTAATTAGAGGACATGTCACCCACAGGCCAAATTCTAATAGGCATGTAGCTCTGGGCACCTGTTTCAATGAGGTAGATTCCTAGGTGGACATGCCAATTCCAAAAAATGCCTCCCCTGGGGCTTGCCTGAAATCCCTCCACTAGAAACCAACCAATTATGACATGGGCATCATGCTTATCCTTCCCGGTCTTCAAGCTCCGCTCCCCCATGGAGCCTTCGGCGATTGACTTCTGGGACACCTCCCTCTGAATAACTAAGTTCCTGCTCTGCCACACATTTGGCTCCTGGGATGGGCTTTCCTCTGCTTTGATTAACTTCTATAATCCCCTCAGGACTTAGTTCTTTGGCCTCTAGCCACCGGCATGACGCGCTGATTTGTGGTTTCTTGACCTGGCAGCTAATCTGATCACTCAGGTGATGCCCGGTCAGTACATGGCTGGGCATCCTGGAGGGTGTCATCTCCAGTGGGAGAAGAAACCAAGGGGCATCACATAAATACTATACCAGCTTCCCTCCATTTCATGTATTGATAGAAAGCCCAAACTTGAACGTAAACATATATAAGTATAGAACAGACTGAGTAATAAACAGGGAGCAAATGATCCTCAGGTCATGTAACATTTCTTTCCTTAGTAACCTGCCCTGGAATAGTTTTAGCAATGCTTTGCCTCTGGAAGTACTTCTGATCACCTACCTTGAATCCCTCCTGCTGCCGTAGGCCATCCGTCTCTAGATCTGGCTTCTGGGGAAATGCATAGGTCTTCTTGTTGGGCCAGCTACCTAGCCTTCCTTCACCCTTGAGGTTTCCCTCCACCCTATTTGGTTTCCAAGATCATCTGATATGAAAAAAAAAGAAAGTAAGGGGGGTTGCATATGGATGGACTCTGAACATTGTTCTTTGCAGAGACAGGGCCTGCTCGCCTCTCATTATCAAGCACCAGGGATCCCCGTTCTATGCCAGACAGCTAGTGGCTAGTGCCTTTGCCTCCTCAGTCTGGACAAGACTCACACCTCACCATCCAGAGCTGAGCTGGCTGTTTGGCAGTCTTCTCCCATCATTAACAAGATGCTCACAGGGCTGGGCAGCAACACAGCCAGCTTGCTGATTAATAGTGATCAGTGAGAGTTTAGGAAACGTGATGCAGGGTGGATTGGGTTTGATTAGTCTGTAGATGTAAACAAGAAGTGTGGAGTTTGTGGGAGGTTTGAAGAGCACAGTAAGAAGTGATTCTGGACACTTCTGTTCTCCCATCCCTGTTATGGGGCATCTCTGAGAGGAATGGAATCTTGAATGGGAGAGGAAATGACAGATGGGTGCTTACTGAGGCTTCTGCTCAGAGGGGAGGGGGCCAGATCCATGACCTCCCAAATCTCACCCCTGAATTCCCAGAGTCTTTTATAGTTGGCCCCTGGGCTTGGTTCCTCAGCAGCCAGAAGAATCCCTGCCAGTGGGGCTGTGTTCCCAGCCCCCAGCCCTGGGCTCTGATCCCACTCCTGGCCAGCTCTCTTCTTTTGACAATCTTGCTACAGGTTCTTTTGAAATAGATTTCTTCAGGGCCTCATTTCCCAGCAATTAGTCAATGTGCTGTCATGTGTTTAATAGGCAGAAAAGCTGTTAGACAAAGGCATCCACAGCTGGGGGCTGGGAATTGTTTTCGACAAAGAGTGGCAGGCTCTTGTCTGATATGTCTGGAGACTTCTTTGTACTTTTCTCTCCTAGGGATGATTAGAGCAGGGGTAGAGGCACAGGAGAGAGCCTCTCTTTTGAGGGGCTGAGCAGGGGAAGCCTTGCGAAGTCACAACTCTTCTCCCAGAACTTGCACCTTTGAACCAAACTCTTGTGGTCTGGAGCCTTAGAGGAAAGAAGAGGTCAAAGCAGTGATGGAAAGCATTGAATTAAAGGCAGGTATCTGGGAAGCTCTCCTTTAGCAACAACAGAATCTGCAAAGGCACTGGGCCAATCTAACTCCATCAAGACAGGGAGTAAGGACTTCCAACTGTAGCTATGGCTGATGAATCCCGAAAACTTCGCTCCTATTTCGCCTCCATTCCTCAATTATGGCTCATCTTCAACTCTTTCCTTGCATGGAGGAAAACGGTGACAGTTGTCACCAAAAGCCAGAGCTAACACTTTTTTAACATTTACTACATTTATTTAATCATCACAACAATCCTATGAAGTAGGTACTATTATCATTCCATTTTCCAGAAGGGGAAATTGACACACAGAGGCTAAATGATGCTCTGGGTTAAAGACCTCAAAAGCATGGGAGCTGTGATTTGAAGAAATACAGGTGGATCAATTTCTAAAACTGACAACAACATACCAGCAACACTCTGTACGGATTTTCTCAAGCAATGAAAGAACATCTGGAACAGCTGCTGTAATTGGAATCACTACCTGACTATGTTTATGATAATATATAGTCATTCTCCAAGATCCATTTCTGTTTTCTCACAGGCAAATAGGCCACTTGAATGGGGATGTGGGTCTTCTGGAATTAGTCTCCTGGACTAATGGGTCTCCTGGAATTAGTGTCAGCTCAGAGCCAGTGTCCAATAATCCTCAAAACTTTATTTTCCCTTCTCCAATGCAGTCACACTGTAATGTGGTAATGGCTGCAGATCCAGTTGGTGAAGACTGGAAGAAAGATTAACAGCATCCGTTTTTGGCACTGTAACGGAGTTTTTCTTCATAGAACATGGCCTTTCCTTCATTCAAGTGTTCTGGGTCTGTTAACTGTCTCACATCTCTGAATCATTTGAGCAGTTTGACTCTAGATTTGGTGATTCAAACCAATTTGATCACCAAACCAATTCGGTGATTCTGTTCACTAGACCTATACTTTTTCTGCTTCAACAGATCAAGTAAGAATTCAGTATGCTTCCCAGCTATTTCTTTTCTAGACCCTCTATAAACTCTTTTCTAGAGACCTATGGCAAACACCATAGGTTTCTGCAAGTCAGAGTTCTGAATACTGCTTTGGCTCCCAAGTCCTTTGCAGTAACCACACCCATAGAATACACGGTGATTAGGTGCTACAATTTGACTTGTGCTTCTCCAGAATCCCAGTTTGATATTATTCCCATTG